GGCGCTGCTGCCAGCGGCTGCCCAGCAGCAGGTGAGGGCAGCGCCCTGTGTTCCCGGGGAGCCCTAATTAGGGAGGTGCTAATTAAGTTAATGCTCTGCTCTGACGGTAAATGGGATTTCTTTCCTTCCCGCAGCTCCCAGCAGGCGCAGCGCAAGCCCTTGCTGGGCAGGGGCAGCTCCCAGAAGCCGGTGAGGCTCGGAGCCCTCACGGCGCTGGCGGCGTCGTGCGGCACGCCGCGTCCCCGCTCCCCAAGCAGCGGTGCAGAGCTGGCTCTGTCCGTGCAGCGTGCTCACGCCGCACAAACTGCAGCAGAAGGTTCAGAGCCCAAATGGGCTTCTCGGAGAGGGAAATACGTCCGGACCGGCAGGGCTAGCGCAGCTGCCGCCTGGTCCGGTTGTGTTGAGGCCGGGCGGTGGGCTCGCACGCGGTCCATGCACTTTGGGGGGTTTCGCTGTAGGCCGGCCCTGGGGCCGCAAACCCGAGATTGCCTGAGCAGGGGTTTAGGGCAGGTGTTGATGCAGCCTGACCCGGTGGTGGAATTTTCGTGCTGACAAAATGACTCGTAACCGAGACTGAAAGCCCAGCTGAGGGTCCTGCACCTGGGCAAAGCAAGGCTTGAAGACCTGATTCCCATCTCTACCAGAGCCGTGAGCTCAGGGCTGCAGCTCTACCCGCCCCGGAACAGAACCGCTCGGCAGCATCTTGCTTGGATCTTCTGCCTGGACCAGGCTGTAGTCTGATAACCGTCCCCGCAGGCAGTGGGTGCAACGCAGAGTGGCCGAGGAGCGGGTGTGGAGCAGAGCTGCCGGGTTGTGCACCTCGGGTGAAGGTCTGAGCCGTGTGGCCGAGCTGCCCGAGTGCTCTGCGGGGGCTGACAGCTCTGCCCGCTGCTCCTGCCTGCGCTCTGCCCGTGAGCTTCCCAGCACTCAGCGCGACGCTGTCCCGCGTTGCTGTCCCACGGTGTGCGACTCGCGTTCTGCGGGTGGCGTGTGGACCCCCCTCTGTGCCTGCGGGAGGGGCACAGCCGGGGGAGTGGTGGCGCGGGGCGGGTGGGCTGCCCTGTGCCCGCTCGTGGGAAGGCCCCTTCTGCATCTGCGGGGCGCTGGCCCTGCCTGTGTGCGCACGTCAGGGCGGTTCGCCCCTGTTTCCACCCTGAAGGTGATTGCTGTCCCTCCCCAGTGGAGCCTCTTCTGCCGTTTTCTGTGGATCTGTCGGAGCCGCTGGAGCGGCGGTCGCAGAGGATAGGAGGGTTGTGTGGCCGGGCATCCTCTGCCCTGGGGAGGTGGCAACAACTGGTTTTATCCAGCTCCTGCTGCAGGAGTTAGGTGTCGGGATGGACCCTGGAGGGCTGCTGAGCTGCGACAAGGAACAGGCGGCTGTGGCACGTGGGTCGCTCAGGGAACTCAGCGCTGTGGCTGCGAGGTCGCCCAGAGCCTCCCTCTGCCCTGCGCTCTCACCTTCTTCTCCTTTCACAAATCTCTGCATCGCTGCTCCATTTTTCCCCCTCCAGGGCTGGCTTTGAAAACGCTCCAGAGGAGCGGAGCCAAGTTCTCCTAATAGCTTTTTCAAAACTTGCTCTTGTGTTTGCCTGGAGCAATTCGCTGCTTTGTTGTAGAACAGTTTTTCAGCAGCCTGCTGACGGTTGTGTGGAAGTGGGAGCAGCGAGGCGCATGGTGTCAGCGCAGCCATGCAGCGCTGTTCGTTGGAAAGCCGGGGCTCCCGTGAAGAGTTGACAGCATCCGTCACGACTCTGGGATGCTCCCGCCAGTGATAACTCTGTTAATGCGACCTATGCAACGCTACCGGTAGCTGAGCTTCGTCCTGCTCGTGGCACTGCAGGGGGCGAGGAGCGCCGCAGTCCTTTCAGGGTCTCTCCAGTCATTTCCCGCCGTAGCCGGTGCCCCGGCAGTCATTGCTTGCGGTAGGGGTGCAGGCGAGGGGGGTTCTCGGGTGCCTCACAGAAAGCAGATGGAAGGTGGTTGTGGGATTGCTTCCAGAGCAGCAGCCCTGTTTCGAATGAGGCTGTTGGAGCGTACGGAGCCATCCCGAGCTGCCAGTGACGCCACACAGCCTGGGCCCGGCTCTCGTGCTCTGCCCTTGCAGGGGAGCTAAAGAAAGATGAACCTTAGCTCTCGAGCTACTTTTAGCAGCTTCGTTCTGCGCTCTGGACAGCGTGTTTACTCCTGGGCTTGCATCATGCCGTGCTTGGCCCTGGCCACATCGGTTGCTCCCTGGCTCAGTTCCAGAGACGGGAGGAGAGGCTAACCGCAGAGACGGGCAAGCCCAGCGGAATCGGAAAGGTTCAACCCTCAGATCTTTAAACCCTGTTGAGGGAGGCTTCCTGGTGGCGGGGCTGGCTGGGGAGAGGCTCCTGCAGAGGGTTTTGGGGCTGATGAAATCGGAGCTTCCCTCATGCTGGTGGCTTTGACAGTAAGGAACGTCACAGGGCCCCTTTCCCTCTGGGACAGTCAGTGCCTCAGGCTGCCTGGCTGGTTTCTGTCGATGCTGGGAGGAGCTGGAGCTCGGTGCTGCGCTGAAGGAGGCAACGTCTCCTCTCAGCCCTTCGGAGGGAGAGGAGGCTTTCAGCTGCTTCCTGATTGCTTCCTGCTCCCAGCCGGTCCTGCCTTCCCGCATCCTCTCCTGACTCAGTGCCGGGCTGGGCAGCCCCCGTCACAGGGCTCCGTCCCCGGGGCTGCGTGCCCTCCTGTCGCCTCCTGCAGCAGAGCTGTCTCTGCTGGCGTGAGTCCACGTTCTAGCGAAGCGTGTCTCGAGGCTCTCCCTGGCCTCTGCTGCTCTTGCAGCAGCATGTGGAGGGTTTGCCAGGTCAGGCTCCAGTTGAGCTGGGGGCCGTAAAAACTCAGTGTGACCTGCTGCTTCTGCTGAGAGATCCCTCAAGGTGAGAACTGGATGCAGCAGAGGCCCTGGGGATGGCGAGCAGAGAGCATGCCCTGCCTTGGGCTGGCTGCAGGCACAGCTGGCAGGCAGCGGCCGGCCCTGCAGGCTGCTGCTCCGCTCCCACGTGAGGCGAGCCTGCCGTGGTTCTTCTGTACTTGTGCGTGTGGTCTGCAGTGACTTCCTTTGCTTCCTCGGCCGCTCGCTTTGCGAGGAGAAGCCTGTGGTGGGATGAGGCAGAGCAGCTCGTGTTTCGCTGCGTGCTAGCTCTATTTTTCAGGGATCGGTACGATGGCGCGTGGCGCTGGGGCCCTGGCGGGGCACCGGCTTCCTGCGGCCGCGGAGCATGCGCTGCGGCGGGGAGGATCTCGCGCTTGAGCAGGAGCCCGGGCTGCCGCGGTGGCTCGTCCTGCAGCTATTTGTGGCAGTGAGAAGTGGCTGATTCCCGTCCAAATGCCGCTGCCGCACAGCAGCCTGGGAGCTTTGCCTTCAGCCTTTCGGTGCTCTGCAGACTGGGGCTCCAGTACTGCCCTGAAATACCCAGGTTGTGGCCTTCTTGTGGAAGACCTGCTTGGATCAGGGGTCCAGTGAAGTGGCATCTGGTTCAGCTGCTGCAGCCTGGTAGGGGAAAGTGTATCCATGAGCCACTCCGTGCCGAGCGCTGTGCGGGGCGCTGGGGAAGCCGGCTCCCGTGCAATGGCAGTACTGCAGCCGCGGCTCTGCAGCACCCATCCTCGGCTCCCGGCTCAGGGCTGGGGACGCTGCTCTGGCAGGAGATGGGCTGGGGCAGCGGCTGGCGGTTTCCAACGGGGCGGGGGAGGGCCC